AAATTTAAATTTAAGATAACACTTATGTAGTTGAACCTTAAAAACAATTTTATTGTTAAAGGTTACCAAAATCTCATGTTTTTATCTTATTTACATATTGTATAAATAAAAAAATTGATATTGACTGCTCTAAATTTAAAATGTGTGAACCAATTTTAAATTAAAATGTTTTTAAATGACATCAAATATTTAAATTTCTATTATAAAATTGAAATAAACAAATGAAATGTATTTAATTACACTATGTAACATAGTTATATGTTTAGTTTAAAATTCAATGACATCAATAAATTTAACATTATAACTGCAGTTAAATATCTTTGATATATAAAACTGTAGTTCATACATGAATTAAAATAAATTTTACTGCTGTAAGATTATAATTATTCTTTTTAGTGTCAAGTTTATGATTATATTAATATTTTAGTTACTATAATTGTTGTATACTTAAAATAATTGTAAAAATAATTATATATGAATTGCATAATATTTATTGATTAAAGTTATATGCTCTTTGAACTTATATTATCTGTTTTTTAACTTTTTAAAACATTTTATCTTAAATATTATGTGTACACAGTTTAATTATGAGAATATACTATTATCATACAGTTAAAAATCAAAAGACTTATTCATAGACTGTGTAATATTGTAGTAATAATTAATAATTTTCAAGCCTAGGACGCATGACACAAAACAGAATGAAAAATGTCATTACTTGGACGTGTATTTATCTTGAATATGGTATATTATATGTTAATATATTGGTAACTAAATAAAGTAAGTATAATTTTTAATAGTAATAATATAAATACTGTAAGAATTCTCAATTGGTTGTCGAATAGGGGATAAATACCATAAAATAAATTACCCATAGCACTTCTTACCTACAAACATCAATAAAAATTAAAATTAAATATTCTGTTTTTTTTTTTTTTTTTTATCTTCGTTTGAAAACTCTAACACCAACCTACAATACTTTATACAGTTTTTTTTAACTTAATTCAGAAATAATATTTACACAATTAATACGAATAAGGATTAATATAGAGTGAAAACTGTCTAAAGCGGACCCTGAATAAAACGGAAAATTATCCAATACGGAATTTTTCTATGGTCCCGGCACGTTCCAATAGTTTTATACAGACGCTGAACCTCAATAAAACGGAAGCTTCTTAACGCGGAAACAGAACGATTTTGTAAGTCCCATGCAAGTAAAAACCTTGCATAAACCGGAAAAATGACACGCGTGTGTGTACTATAAACCAAAAATAATGTTATAAAAATCTATAAAATATTGATATGCATTTCGTTGTATGTACATTATTAAATAGTGATAAAGAAGATAAAAATTTTCTATACATATTTGTACAATATGTGTACATACAATGCATATTATCGCATAAACGATATGAACTTTCTTCTTTGTAACCGTGAAATAGTCATACACCAATAGTCGTACGTACACTTTTAATTATATCTTCCGTTAATCGTATTAAATATTAAAATGCTAAAATATAAGTGAAAAATATCAATTGATCGATATGAGTATAAAAGGATAGTTGAATAATCCGGAATTTTTCCGTTTTATTGAATAAAGCGGAATTTTTTTGTTGATCCCGTTTTAGGCAGTTTTCACTGTATTTATTAAAATAAATTATGTTTATTTTCTTATATTTTTCATTTTTAAATAAAATTAATAAAATTATATTGATATAATTATTAAGTAAAAATTAGTTATTGATTTATTTTATTCAATAACTAGATTATAGATATGAGTAAATTGTCCTTTTGATTTTTTAATTCAATTTAATAAAAACCTATTGTAATCTGTTAGTTATGATAATTTTCTAGTTTCTTCTAGATATTTGATCGAACTATATGTTAATTGAAAATTATTACATTCTTGAAAAAATTATAAAGCTAATAGGCGTCGTTCATAACCGCACACTTTCAAAAACAGTTCATCATTCAGAACCTCACACTTTTATATCTTAATCCCACATATTTTCACCAAATTAAACCGTTCAATACCGCACAAATGTATATATATATATATATATCAATTACTTATACATTTATCTAAAATAACATGAGTGCACCTCGAAACCGAGTGGGGTTATGATCGCCTAAGCTAACTAAATAAACGGAAATATTGCGCCCGTATACAAATACATAGGCAATATGTCCATTAACTACTACTTGCGTTTTCAAAACAATTTTATATCGACTGTTTTCAATAATTGATTTGTTGATATAAAACTAATCTAATTTTTTTTTAATTTACCAATTGTATCAAAATATAAAGTGTCACTGAACAATTATTAACAGCTAAATTTCATTAAATAGTTTTTACTAAAATAACGTTCCACGTTTTGTAGACTGATATCAATTCTTTATACATCAATTTTATTTCATAATACCATATTGTCAAATTTTACTAATAGAGCACTATTAGTAAAATATTTTCTTAAGCACTTTATTTTTACAAATATGTTTTAAAATTTCTTAGTCACTGGTGCTACTTTTTTTCTGATGTCAACTTATTTAAAGAATTCTGGTTTATATTATTTATGTATAGTGTTTATAAATTGCCTTTGATTTACGCTTATAAAAACGAAGGCCTTCTATAGTTGAAACGATATCTCAATAAACACATTACATATAATTACTATGAACAGTAGCGTAGATACAATTCTTTTCTGGGGGGGGGGGGGTTTAAGAAATAAGTTTTTAAGTGTTCGTAGTATATCTTAAAACGAGATCATATATAATATTACATTTAAAATAGTGTTATTATGTCCCGTATTAATAAAAATTATTTTGTTATTCAATTTTTAATATATACCTAATCATAGTAAAATCAAAATATTTTACTATAATATATAAATATTAATAAATAATAATCAAATATCAATAAAAAAAAATCTGTGGGGGGGGGGGTGGAAACCCCTTATACCCTCCCCGTAACTACGCCACTGACTATGAACATTATTTCTAAATGATCAGTATAAATACGAGAGTTTAATTTTATTAATTTTCAATTTGTCTCAATATCTTTTTATAATTTCTACCTACTTCAATATTTGTAATTAAAGATGAAACAATATTTACAGAAAATAAGTGAAGTATAAAAGTACAAAAGAAATTAATTAACAATATTTTTTGTATATTCGTAGTATTATTGAACAATATATAAATTAATAACTTTTGTGTATATTACAAAAGAAGTTTTTAACGATTTATATTTGATCTTTGTAATTCGTAAAATGAATAATAAAAGACTCGGTATACCGAGAGTCCAGCGTGATATAAGTGTAAACAACCTTTAAATACCGCACAACTATACTCTGATGTAACATTATCAAATCATAATAGTGATAATAATGACAATAAAGAATATGTATTTTTGATGATTCAGGTCATATTAATGTAGAATTTATATAACCGGGGGCCCGTTTAGGAAATGTTCAATAGACTCCGCTCCAACTTTCTACAATCTGTATTATTTACACAGACAATAATTATACAATAATTATACTTTCTTAATTATTGGTAAATAATACTTTTATCTATTAAAATAGGGTCATTTTGATTTTATTGTAAGAAAATGTTTACTGTTATAAATTTATGATGAAATTTAAGTTTATACTAGGTACCGAAAAAAGTGTCAAACTATCAAATAAATTAATTTTTTCATAAAAACGTGAATTTATTATTTCATTTACCTTGGTTAAAAAAAAAATTCATTAACACATTCATCAACTTACAAAATACATTTTAAATGATAAAAAAAATCACATTTTAAGATATATGTCACTTACCTAAACTAGTTCTGAAACTATGTATTTGGTTAATTAATGTAAAAATAATGTAAATCGTAAAGAAATTTCAGTATTTACTGAAAGTGTTCATTACTATTTGAGTATGATATGTAAATAGGGGAACAAAATATAACAATAAGAAATGACACATACACATACACACGTTTACGCGCATACAGGCACAAACATTAAATATAAGAAGGCCAGTTATCGACGATCCAGGGCTCTTTTTTCTTTCTTCCTATCATGGTCATCAAGAGACACAATTATAAAAATTTAATCAAATGTTCATAATAATAAGTTAAAATATAAATATTGATGTGCTTCTAAAAGTTTTAAAATAAAGTAATGAGTAGTGAATTAGAGAAGGAGTTTGTTTTTTTTTATTTTAACATAGTAGCGTACTACTTCATCCTACACTTATAATACAAGGTATAATCTCAACAGGAAGATCGCTATAAAAATCGGAGAGGTAATATACTAATTTATGATCATAATTACGTAACTAACACAGAGACGCATAATCATTCCCAGTAACCTTTTAATACTCCCCATTTAAAGTCCATTACAATATGTTTAGTGAAACAAAAGATAAACGTTTGGATTTTAAGTATATTGTTAAATTTTTATAAAGTTTTATAATTTTTTTTTTTTTTTGTAATTTTGTTATTTTCAAAGTTTTTATTTTTATTTTTCCAATAAAAAAACTGTTGACAATTTAAATTATAAATACTAATTTATATGTATTAAATGGGTTTAATCAAATAACTATTGTTAATATTATTTGTGTTCGATACTTTCCATAAATAAGCAATTTTATATCGCCTTCCCACGTCCAAAGCATACGAGCGGCCACTGTAGTATATTGTGTTACTAGTAAACAGTGGCAGCTTCAGTAAATTTGCCATGTGTAGCCAAACTACTAAAATTTATGCACACCCACCCACCAACAAAAGTAAGTGTTTTTGATATGCAAAAACATTTTTATAAAATTCTGTATACTATAAATCTGCCTACTAATAAATAATTTATATTGATTTATACATTATAGTAATAGGATAATCGCCACTGTACTCATTATGCAATCCGTTCTAAAAATAAAAAATAAAAATGTTGTAGTCCAAAAGGTAAAATAACCTAAATTAAAAAAAATCAAGTCCTCTTGA